AGGAAAAGCCCAGCTGGGCTAACGAGCTAAGTCACAAATCTAAGTGTGATAAGTGTCGGTTTACTGATATAAGTTCTGCCGGGCTAACTCGTAAATCTGAAGTTTAGTGTCAGTTTACTGGGCTAACAGGCTAACTCGTAAATCCAAGCTCAACAAGTGTCAGTAACGTGATCTGTTCCAAATTGATAAACTTCAGTGTACTGATTCCTTGCTTTTTGTTGTTTGAGCCTTATTGGCTAATAGCCCCATACTTGTAATTAAAACCTATAAAACCTCATGTGCACGTCTTGGGGGTGCTCAGAGCTTCGGAGCAGAAGCCCCTCTGAGCCTGCCGGCGTAATAAATCTGAGTACTCCACCCCTCCGAGTGGTGCTTGTTTCTTGGCTGGCCTGTCATTTCCGTAACACAGTTTCATGTGGCAGGGTATGAGAGGCATAGGGCAGGGGGATGAAGTGGCTGGAGATCAGGCTAGAAAATAGTCGAGGACAAAGTTGTAAATGGCCTGGTTAACCAGGCTCTATAATGGGTCATGTATTGTTAGCTGTCCTTTCATATGTATATTTCTGTCTAGAACGTATTCTTTAGAGACAATGATTACATTTTATATGTCATTGTATTTACTTCAGTATGAGGCATAGCTCCTTACATATAATAGATACTCATTCAGCAAATCAAAGGATAGTTAAATCAAATCATCAGATAGGAGCATCCACTTAAAGTACTTTGAAAACTATGTTATTATTTAGTTGTCAATGATTATTGATAGTGATGACTACACTCTGCCCTAAATGATAATACAAGAAGCATTCTTTTGATCCATTATTTTCATCTGAACTGAACCTATTACCATTCTGAAATCATAGAACTATAAGCAAACTTAAAATATTAAAATAATTACTTTTTTGTATGTGGCAAATTTTGGATTCTTCGCTCATTTAAAACAAATATCAAATGAGATGAAAACAAACATAGTTTTGTTTTTTTTTAAATGACATTTTCACAATATATCCTAGCACCAGTATAGAGTCTGTTGAATTGCCTCTTTTTGACCTTAGCCAGACAAGGCAGAAAAAACTGCCTGGCTTGCTACAGTTACAGTTCTGTAGTAGGAACTGATTTACATAGTAATGAATCTGAAGTATTGTAAGGTAGAGTTTGATTCAGTACTATGCTGGTAACTGTTTAACAACTGGCTTTTTTTTTTTCCCCCTAACAACAGGCTTTCTAGAAAGCAAAAAAAAAAAAAAAAAAGAATCCTGATTTGTACTGTTTGCTAATTTTAGTGATTTAAATATAAATACTTCCATCATGCCCTAATTGTGCAATTGTAAGTCAGGAAACAAGTAACAAAGTGATTAATATTTTAAGAAGAAAATCCTTAAGGTAGTGTTTGTTGGGTAGAAGTTGAGGGGAGACTAGTAAAACTATCTTTTTTTTTTACTATTCTTAGCAAGAGATGATGAGAGCCTGAAATAAAGCTGACACATTATGGATAAAAAAATAGATGATTAATTCCAGGATCATATTTGATATAGAATCAATAAAACTTGATGAGTTTCTACACAGGGGTTGGGTGATGGCAAAAGACTAAAAGAGAGAAAAAGTTAAAGATACCATTAAAAGTTTCTAGTTTAGAAGACTGGGTAAATAATGATGTTACTAATGAAAATTGACTATAAGGAGGTGATTTAAAGCTTAAAATATTTGCATATACATTATCTCATTTAAGACTATTTTGTAAGTTACTGTTGTTGCTCTGCTGAAAGGTTAATTGTATATGTGGATATACAGAGCATCATGGCTTTCTGAAATATTTTTCCAACTAGAGCTTTTTAGTGATTTGATAAAAAGTGCTTTTTGTGTTATTTATAGCCATATTTATTTAAAATATTTTTAGTAAGTAATGATATTTTCCTCTCTAACCCACATATTCGGTTTAAATATTTTTGTTAGTTGTTCTTATTAAGTGTTTAAATTATATTTGATTTTTTGTCAGTCTGAAATAAAGCTTTAGGTTGAGCATATTTATTCATTATTAATATTCCTTATTAAAACACAAAAAAGTAAATGGCTGTGTTAAGTATCTGGCCTTACCACAAAACTTAAATGATTTTTAAAGTCAACTTCTGGCTTTATGGTGGTATGGTCTCAAGCAAGTTTCCATTTTAATGTATAAAATCAAAACCAAAACAAGAAACTTAAAACACACTCAAAATACCACTAAACCCATTTGGATTAGTAAAGATATAGTAATGGTAATATCATTCCATTTGTTCTCATTAGCTGAGGTACTTAGTGTGAGGCACTGGGGATGTAAAAAAGAATATATCTTGGCCGTAATTAACACAGTCTAGTGGAGGGGGTGTAAATAGCTCTATACAATGTTTTAAGTGCTATAATACAGGTGAAAACGAAGTTTTATAGGAACAAAGTAAGGATACAAGTAACTGTGCCTGGGGTTTGGATACAGCAGGGAGGAGGCAGAGAAGCTTTCACAGTGGAGGTAACTTTTGGGTAGGACCCTTTTAGGCTGAATAGGAAATTGTCAGCTGGAGAAAGAGAAAGGCATTGAGAACATGCATGGAAAGACAGGAGAATAACAGTCTGGTATATGTTCAAGGGGCAAATTGTTAAAAATGATGAAGCCAAAATAGTTAAGGCAGGATCTATTCGTGAAGATCTGTTACACTGTGGTAAGGACATTGGACTTGAGGCATCCTATGGTACTAAGTGAATTTCTGACTTATCTAACAGGACCTTGAGTGTTATATTTTCAGTATGGGGTTTAATCTCATGAATTCATTCATTCTTTCATTCCTTCAGAGCTGAACTATAATAGGACACCAAACTGAAAGGAATGACAGATGCTGGCTTTCAGGCTCAGTTTACTGTTATTAAGCGTTTTCAAAAGGCAGGTAAAGTGATACAGAAAAATATGTCATTTGAATGGGGCTTTGAAGAATAGGTAAGATTTGAACGAGACTCATTTATATATTGAATCAGATGAGTTGAAGATACAATTTTTTGCACTTCTCACTTATAACTGGTCTGTTTTCAAGGCAACATTTAAAAATAAAGCAAAAAAATACACATAGTAGTTCCAATAGGCATTGATTGAAATGACAGTGGTTATTAATGTAATGTTTAAATAAACACATGCAAGAAAAGACTTCTTTTTCTGTCTTTATTGCTATAAGTTTCTTTAGGGTAGAAAAGAAAAACCCTGTATATTTCTGTATACTTAATAGCACCTCAGACATAGTTTTCAAACTATAATTGAATTAAATTGAAAAATTCTGGGCTTTATTTGAATTCTAGTCCTTAAACAATGCATAGTTTTAAATAATGGTGTGATGGAAATCTAAAAAAGCATGTTCCTGGGAAAATTAGCAAGATGAGGAAACAATCAAACACTAAGTTACAAATCAAGGTAGAATCACAAAACTATGGTATTTACTATACAGATAGAAAGCTTATTTCTAATAGCATGTTAGTGTACCAGTTACATCCACATTGGCTATGCAAGTCAGTCTATATGGGCTGAACAAAGTATAGAACAGATTGCCTTGGAATGGAATGTAGAACTGTGGAAAACAAGGGATAAAAAAGCAACAGAACTTAAGATCTACAGAAGCAGTGCTTTAAGATCTCACTGATGTATAATCTGAACCACTGCCACATTCTTATTCATAGTGCTGATGAAGTGTTTATAACTACAAGGCTTTCTACAAATTTAAGTAAACATTTCTCTGTAGGAATTCACAAGCTAACGTAATAAAAAATACCTAGAATTGGAATCACAATTTAGATGTAAGAGTATTTATAAGACAGGAGGCTGATAAACAGTTTATTACTTAAAGTAGTATGCCAGTCATACCTTGTCATTTATACTTCAATCGGTTCTGAAATTAGGTTTCCTGCTGCAAGTTATTGTAATTCTTACAATTTTTTTTTCAACCAGGGAACATAAAACTTATCAACTTTGAAACAATCATCAAGAGGATTGAAGTTTTTGAGAACTGCTCTTAATAAACATATATAATAATAAATATAACAATAATAAACATTTTGTAAGTCATTTTCTTCAGAATTATGACGTCCACAAAAATCAGAACTGACTGAAAATCAATTATTCTCAAAGCAGAGGAAAAAGAATAACATTTACAAAATTTATCATGTGTGAGTCAGAACTGTATGATTATTTTTACTTACAATAAATAGAATAGTTAAAATGTATAATTTTTATTTTTAAGTAATTGTATTCTCAATATGGGGGGAAAAAACCCCACAGAGCACCTGAAAGCTTTTTTTTCCTGCATTCTTAAAGTGAAGATTAATAATCACCTGGATAATAATTTCCACACACTTTTTCCTGAAATATTCAGATTATTAAGTACCAATGCCGCCTTCTCCCCAAACGCACTTCATGAGAGAAGAGGAAATTTTAAACGTCACTGGGATAATTAATAGCATTTAAAAAAGTTTTTCCAGACACAAGAGAGATTTGGTTTAGTGTTTACAGAACTATATGAGACGCTCGAGAGGAACTGTGGAGAAGTCGCTTGTGAAGAAAACATAGAATTTTAGAATTCAAAAAATAAAGTTGTTCCCGTTCACAAATTTTAAAAAGATTCTGACTTTTCTCTTGAATTCTACCAGAGGGTATAAAAAGTATAGACAAACTACAGTCGTGGCAATTGTAAAGGGCGCTAAAAATAGACAACGTAACGGCCCCAGGCTCTCGGTGCTCTGAGGAAGACGACCCGGGCTTACCACAGCGGGTAGGATGGGGCGTGGCCTATGCCTGAGCAGTAGGGGCGTGACTGGGGCGTGGCCGCTGTCGGTTGACCCTGAGATTGGGGCCGAGGCCAGACCTCAGGGGGCGTGTCAGGGGCGTGACCGAGGCAGGCTTGAGGGGTGGGTGGGGCGGAGCCGCCTCGCGCCGGTTTAAGAGACTGGAGCCAGCCGGATTCTCCGACAGATTCGCTCGGTTTGCAGTCATGTCGCTCACGCACGGCGCTCGGTGGCTTGCCGAGCTCAGGGAGCTTTCCTCCGCTTTACCTCCTCCTGACGACACTGATTCTCCACTTCCCAGTAAGCGGCTCCGTCTTGAGGAGCCCGGCGGTGTCCCTGAGGCGGGGTGGAGGCTGCCTTTGGTGCCTCACTTGTCTGAGGTGGAAAAATTCTGGGAGTTGTCGCCCAGACCCTTCAAGGCGCTCCTTGTTCCGTATGAGGAGATTTTTGAAAACTCCACAGACTCGTGTGTGGAGAAATCAGTCAATGGGAAGAAAACATGTAATCTGGGATGCCAAAATAAGAAGTTTGAGACGAATAGTTATTTGCGGTCTCTCCCCTCACAAAATTTTGATTCTGGTTTGAGGGCTTCCAGAAGGTCTTGTGAGCCAGGACTGTGTGACAGAGAGGTTTTCGGTGTGCGTTGCAGCGGTAGACCTGAAGCAGAGGCTGGTCAGCTGCCCAACGCCTTCTTACACGATGTACATGGAGTTAAAAACGAGGACGGAAAAGAATATTTAGTCCGGGGGAGAGACAATGGTCAGAAAGACAATGATCACATAAAACAGACAAAAAATCAATTTTTAGATGTTACCTGTTACAAGGAAACCAAATCAACATTTCATGATATTAAGAACAGAGGTGAAGCTGACAGTGGTATGCCATCAGATGAAAAAGAAAATAGCATTTCAGCATCTACACCAAAAATGTCAAAATCTCAAAACCAGCCCAGCATGGAAATTGCTAAACCCAGCTGTTTTAGAGATAGCTGCACAATGAGTATCCCTGAGTTTCCAGCTGGTTTAAACAGCAAAATGTCCCCTGTCTATTTAAAGGAAATAGCAAAGAACAAGAACGACAAAAATAAGGCATATGTTAGGGATTTCACAAACATTTACTGGTCCCAAAACAGACCTGATGTAAAGAAGCAAAAGTTACAGGATGATACTATTGTGGATGCAGAAAATATTTTTTCTGAATGTTGTGAAAAACACCAGTCACTCAGCAACCGAAGTATTTGTGTGAGAAAAAAAGACTTGATCAGTTTACACCACTATAACCACTGTAGTGTCAAGTCTGATGTAAGAGTCACTGCAAAGAATTTCACTATAAAACTAGAACATGCAAATTGGGAAGAAGC